GTGGTGTGTCAAATAATAGGCACCAAAAATTAGCCGCACGGAACGTATGCATTTCTATGGCCAGGTTTAAATGAGTCCATGTCCTACACCCTCTCATCCTCCTCCGGACTCGCCCTCATCGATCGCGCTTCACAAACAACCACTAGCAGAGCGTGACGATTTGTCTCGAGCGAATTGTTTTCCGTCTGAAAGCGGGCCCTTTTTGAAGAGGAAAGTTCATAATTACGACGTGTTCTATTGAATAATTTTATTTCGTTGAATGGACTGATGAAATGGATGGACTCGGCTGTACAACGGGGGATGGGGGTGGGGGCTGGGGCAGATGACTAGCGACGGGGTGGTAGCCTTGGTCGTCGGCCGTGTACTTGAGCTCGATGACCTGGCCGTCAGGCGCCGTGTACTTGTGGGAGCCGCTGCGGTACAGGACGGGGCCCTCAGGTCCCGGCCGCAAGACGCCCTGGTCCTCGTGAGTCGCGCCGTCTCGCGTCTCGAAGCGGAGCCAGTACTGGTTGGAGTCGTCGCGCACCTCTTTGTGGTCCACGATGGGTGACGGCATCCTCGCCGCAACGGCGAACTCGTGCTGGGCCGCGGCCAGGATGGCGACCACCGCGAGGACAACAACCTGAGCAAAAAAGGGCCAGTTACACAACCACAACCTGATGCCGAGTGTTTTGACGCAGGTTGAGGCCAGGCAACCCCCCAGCAGTACTCACCGAGGTGTGCATGGCGGGTATTGTTGGCCCCTAGAAGAGCTGTGGCAGACTGATATTTGGAAAGCGTTCGCGCCACCTTTTATACCGTCTGCCCAGAAGGCCCATCGGGGATCGCAAGTCTTGGAATTTTAGTTGCGATTTTAATCTCAGCAGGGGTTTAACATTTCAAAAGTGTTTTTATGTGTAACTGTTCAAAGATACGAGCTTGGATCTAAATATACTCTTATTTTGAGGTTGGTTCTGGATGGCTGTTATGGCGAGACAGGTCATTGAGTAAGGTCAGTCTGTGTGTTTGAACACATTGTAGAGAAAACAAGACCATGAGAACTTAAAAATAGCACTGAGCTATGCGACAACAACACTGTCTCCTCGTGGAGGGACACCAGATCCAAAGGAGAGGAGTAAAAAGCAATCTCATTCTAAAAACATGGCACGGTATGTTCGTCGACGAATTACTTTTTTACCGTGTTTCTCC